GAGAGAAGCACTGCCTATTTCTTCCTCACATAAATCTTATCTTTTTTATTAGGGAGAGAAATACACAGTGACAAGGAGGGGAGTAATTGCATCTATCAGGGGTCTGGAATGTAATTTAGAATTAAGAAATATTTGTTGATAGATAGAAGTAGTGACTATTTCATATAAGCTATTTTGCCAAACACTTTTCTTCCCATAGTTTATTGTACCTGATGCATCACTGTATTTATTTAACCAGTGAGTAAATCTTCACATCTGATTTTAGACTGGTGAGTGAGTTGCTGGTTAAATCAGTACTTATCTGGGTAGAGAATTTAGGCCTTCTAATTAGTCACCTTGGTTGAAATGTCTGTGGATTAGGAAGGGCACAAGGAGTAGTTATGGCTATGTAAACATCTGTGAAAATATTGCAAGAATATTCTGGTGTCACGATTTATTGATTTTTTTAAAATATGTTATATTACAAACCGTATAAAAATCTTTATATAACATCCAATAATGCAGGTTCAATGCTTCCCCTCTGAGTTTTCTCTCATTCTAACCATCACTATCTGTAGACCAGGAGATGTGAGAAAGCCGTACTTTGACATTATATCTTTATCCACAAGGGTAAAAATCTTGTAGGGATTGCTGTGTGAGGAGGACACTCCACTTCGGAGCTACAACAGGGTTCATCTCAGTACAGCTGAGCAGTACATGGGTACAGCTCTGGCTTGTGGCCATTCTCTGAGGTCAAATGGCAAACAGTGATAAGAAAGACCAGAAAAAATATGCTGAGGTCACATGAGCCAGTTTGCCCAGTGACAGTCTAGCCTCTTTCAGATCAAATTTTATTCCTCTTTCAATTAAAAAAACCCTTTTTATTTGGTAAGAAAAGGAGGAAGGAACAGTTACATCCTAGTTTAGGTCTTGTAACTATTTCTGGGAATTTTGATGCATTTTTCAAGACTATACTGCATTCATTACAGTGAAGTAAGCAACACTTAAAAGTATAAAAATAAAGATGTTAGGTATTTAAGCATATAAATATACGGTGAAGTACTTTTTAACTTTGATTATTGTGGTAGTCTGTTATTTTACAGTTTGTTCTGTAGCATGTTTTAATATTCCTTGTTATAAGTTTGTAGTGGTGCAGTCTCTGTACCCCATTTGGCTTCCCTAATGGTTCCGTCCTGAGTTGCTTCCCACAGTTTTCCCCACCAAAATGTGT